CAAAATGAACTCCCAAAGCACCACATGCCACATAAAGTTGTAACAGGAAGTTGATGCTATTGCTGTCATTGTGCTATCTTTTGCATATCTTTGCACCTACTGCTTGGGAACTCATCCAGTCTTTTGCAGTCTCTTCTCTTCAGAGTGCTAATAGGCCTTCATATGCAAAGTTGTGTATATTTTGAACAAGTCCGAGGTAGTCATTTTAATTATTTTTGTGTTTTTCATGCATTTTCAGCTCTTTCTTTAATAGTATTTCACCCAGGCATTGGAGCCTCATCCGTCACTACTAAAATATCCTAAAAAACATTACCCTGACCTGAACAGAGCTTTCAGTGGGTGCGCTATGTGGATTTGGTAGGTATATAGATCGATACTGATGTAGGGGATTACCTCCTCCTTCTCCCCTTAATAACTTTACACAGAATCATCCCCTTGCCCTTGCAAGTACCTCGTTCTGTTTCTATACATTTATGGTCATTTATCATGATTTTACATGTGCCAATATCCCCCCTCCTGGATGTCAATAGAATGTCTTAGCTCGTGGGAACTCGGTCAATAACCCAGCTTCCAGGCAATATAAAATTATGATAAAATATGTTAAATTCATGGATAAATATGCAGTACTCACATACCAGATTCCAGACTTTCAGGTCTATGTTTAGTGGGGTATCCAGAGTGGGTCTCCTGGTGTATCTATACCCCCCTCAGATCTACTACACCCAGACACCCCCTGGCATTATCAATGGTACTATTACTCTCATACATGTATTTAATAATTTTTGACTGACTTAAATGGGCCTAAACACCCCCAAGGATGCATGGGTGCACCATGCATTATAGCAGCCAAAATTGTGTTTGTCATATCTCAACAAGTTCTCACCCGCTTCATGTGATCGAAGGGTCTACAGGAAGGTATCAATGTACCTAGCATTTCGCTCAGCCAAAGCTAAGCAAAATAATGCAAGGGGGAGCTGGAATTATGCACAGATGTGCAGGCATCAAAATATTGCCAAATTTGGCAAAGCACATCAAACCCTGCTGCACACAATTCCTGGCTGTGTGGTGCACTCCATAATTCATAATAAATACTCAAAATATTCATGAAGCACCCCCCACTATAGATACAAAGGTCTGCAAAGTTTCACAGCAAAATATCAAGTTTTCAATTTGATATTCAATTGTTTTGTATTAAAAATGCAAAAGACTCTGGATTTTTCGCATTTTTGGCTCCCCCTGCTCCATCCCACACCCTGTGGGGGCCATGACAATTATTACCATGCATAATAGGCCCCACCCAACCCATTTTTAGGCCCCTGCCACATCCAGAACCCACCCTGCCATCCCACTAGCCCCTATCATGCATCCCCCACCATCCCTGTTTCCCACCCCCCA